AAGTCAAGAATAGCTCTACAGAATGGATCAGTGAAGTGATATTTTTTTCTAGGCATTTCTGTGTATAAGTGCATCTTGTACATGGTCCGGGAATACCCTGAGTTACAGACAGAAGAAATAAATGAAGAATTTTTGGAAAATCCCTCCTCAAAGTACTGTCCTACGGGCTCTGCCGACATCTGAAGAGGTATTAAAGTTGCTGGGGACAGGTCATTAACAATCACTTCACCACAGCCTCACCTGCCATCCAGAATGGCCTCTTTCTACACAGGAATGAAATGCACACAACACTTCTCCCCTCCTCCCCTCTCATTTCTAGAAAGAAGTAATAGGCAAGTAAAGCCATTTTTTTTAAAAGATAGACCAACAAATATGAAATGACCTGTCCATGGTTACACAAGAAAGCAACAGAAAAGCCAAAGGTCAAGGCTAGAGACATTCTCACTTAGCAAAGGCTCGATGGGAGACCTATTCCAACACACTCCTAGAGAAGTCTAAGTGACAGAGGGCTATAAAAACTATATTATCAGCTAATAATAGACACAAAACGTTAAACTGAAAGAGCAAAAAATTTGGCATAAAAAAAGTAGACTGGAACCCTGGTTTTCCACTTACTACTTGTCTGACTATGGGCAAGGCTCTTCCTGTGGCTGGTTCTCCATCTCCTTGTGTATAAAATGAGGGAGCTAAATTTCAGACCCAGTGAACTAAATATACCTACCTCCCTCCTCTTTATAAAGAGCTCAGGTACCACAGATGGAGCAGGTAGCATACACGATTAGACATCGGCACTATATCAGTCGTCAGTGTTGCCTAAGTGTTTTTCTTTGTTATAAGGGAAAAATCAAATTGAGATTGGGGGAGGGGGGGAGTATAAGGGCCAATAGCTGGTGCAAAAACAAATCACTCTGATGATGTTCTGATAGCCAAAATATGTAGGGAATTAAAATATATAAAACTTTGGGCTACTAGCCCCAAACTGGTCAATGGATATGAACAAATAGTTCTTAAAAGATCTGAAAACTACTAATAACCACATGAAAAACTGCATCAATTCATAAGAATGCAAATTAAAACTCTTGAGCTTTTTGCCTTTATACCAGCTAATTGGCAAGAATAACAAAAGACGGGAACTACTCAGTGTTGGAGAGGCTGTGGGAAGACTGGCACACACTAAGATGCTATTTTGAGGGGCAGCTAGGTGGCACACTGCACAGAATGCTGCCCCACCCCCCCAGTCAAGAGGACCTGAGTTCAAATATGCCCTCAGATACTTGACTCTTACTAGCTGTGTGACCCTGGGCAAGTCACTTAACCCCAACTACCTCACCAAAAAGCAAACAAACAAACAAACAAAAACCTAATATGCTATTTTAGAGCTACAAAATGATCCAAGCATTCTGGAAAACAATTTAGAATTATGCTTTTAAAATGACTAACATGTCCATATGCTTTGACCCAGAGACTCTACTGCTAGCCAGTCACATACCCAAAGCAGGCCAAGGATAAAAAGGGAGGTCATCTCATATATAGCAAAATATTCACAGTAGTACTTTTTGTGATAGCAAAAAACTAGAAACGAAATGAATATAGTACATGAATACAATAAAATATTATTTTAGAAGACCATTTTTTTTTAGGCAATTGGGGTTAAGTGACTTGCCCAGGGTCACACAGCTAGTAAGTGTCAAGTGTTTGGTCCAAGGTTGGATTTGAATTCACGTGCTCCTGACTTCAGGGCTGGTACTCTATCCACTGCACCACCTAGCTGCCCCTACAATAAAATATTATTGCACCTTAAGAAATCGTGAGGGGCAGCTAGGTGATGCAGTGCATAGAGCACCAGCCCTGCAGTCAAGAGGACCCGAGTTCAAATGCGGCCTCAGACACATGATACTCACTATCTGTGTGACCCTGGACAAGTCACTTAACCCCAACTGCCTAACCAAAAAAAAAATGGTCAATGAGGAATTTGGAGAAACCTGAAAAGACTAGTATGAGTTGTTAACAGAGCAAAGTAAGCAGAGTCAGGAAAATAACAATGCAAATTAAAATAACAATAAAATAAAAATGAACAATTCTAACAACAAAGCATAGAGGAAATTCAACTTCCTCCTTTCTATGGTGAGATGGGAGACCATGGCTGTGGAATAATGCACCCAATGTCAGCTGCAGTGGCCAGGTCCCTTGGTTTTGCTTAACTGTTCTTGTTTTAAAGGGAAGGTTCACTGGGGGAAGGGGTAGGGAAAAGGCCGTCTTTTGAAATGACATATACAAACAAAAGGAATCAAGAAAACTTTTTTCAGATGGGGCTGGCCTAGAGGATCTCTAAGATCCTTTCCAAGTCTAAATCCTGTGACTAAGTAAAAGTACAGGGATATCTTGGTGACTGATCTATATTGCCACTGCTTGACCCTCTGGGGCCAAATGCTGTTCCCTCACCTACATCACATTAACAGATTCCTGTCGTTATGCTAACCAGCATTGGTTTGAAGTTAAATTTGTCCACACAGTAGTACCCCACCACAGATACAAGACCCCCTGTAACAAAGGCCCAAGGCTTGCCCAACGTTAAGATTCTCCCCTATCTCTTTGGGTTGAGGTCCACTGGAAAGAAGTTCCCTTTGAATCTGTTAAGTTTTCCTATGAGTACATGATCAGACACCCAGATCTGAACATTTGGTGAGGCCTGTGCAACCACAGATAGAATTGAAAGGTTAAAAAGTAAAATGTTTATAGTTATTTAGATAATTTAACTGACTGTGGGACCTTCAGGAAGCCCAAATCACTTAAGCAGCACTGGGGATAGTGTAAATGATAACCAACTACCTATCACTTTTTCTTTGACTTCATCAGTAAGTACACTAAATTTTTATATTACACTTATAATTACCTTGGTTTAGGACACTTGTGTTCTGCTGTTCTGTTCCGAGGCTCCCTTCAGAACTCTGAACATGAGACCTGATCAGGCTCCTCCTATTTCTACAGCTACTCAAGTAACCTTCACCTCCACAATCTTTCCAGCATCTCTGTTCCCCTTCCCCCACCCCTATTCCAGGCTTCATTGCCTCTCACCTGTACCACTGCAAAGTTCTAACAGGTCTTCCAGACCTCATCCTCTCTTCTCCCCCTCACCCAGCCTGGTTTTCATACACCTACTGAAACCCTCTTCTTAATGCACTCTAATGGTCAAGAGTCTTTTGCACTTCACTACAGCCAGGACAGAATTTAAGCATCTCCAAAATGTGTTTTCAACTTTTCCCACCTTTCTCCTCTTTATGAAGGTTACATTCCAGACCAACTAGTCTGCTAGCTATGACTACTCTCCTCCTCCTATTTCCAGACTCTTAGAATTCACACAGAGAGTCCTGCATCCATGACCCACACTCTCTCCTTCCACTTGTTGAAATGCTCTTCCTTCAAGGCTCCGTGCAGGGGTCAACTTTTTCATGAAAGCTTCTTCACTGATTTCCACCCCCAACCCCAACATAAAAACAATCATTCTTTGATGAAATTTGCCTGGATCTCTCTGGCTCTATCAGTCTCCCTCATGTCATCACTCATTTGTGAACACACCCTATCTCCCTAATTAGAAAACAAGCAAGGACTGGGTTCTTTTTCTTCTTTGTATCCCTATGTCCGGAGTACACAATCATCACAGAAGTCTGAGCTGGATCCTTCCTATAAGCGAGAGACCTTTATCCTACCGCTGCTGCAAGGCTGACCTTTTCACTCACAATTCCCATCAGGCCTCTTCCAAACGCCAGACAGTCACCTTCGGTGAGCTCTTAACATCTTATTCCCGTCTTCAGAGAGAGAAGACTAAACCATAGTCCCACACAGGTGCCCAGAGGTGCTTTTCAACATCAATGAGGAGACGCTGGTCTTTTACCTTATAACTCTTGCTTTCTCAAATCAGGTGTCACCCACCTGTGAACATTAGCTCTTATTCTGAGGGGTTTTGATGGCTTTGGATAGCATTGAAAAGACATGCACATGGAAAAACCACCTAAGCTTCATTTAATTATATCACATTTGGTATCATCTTGTTTATTATAATTATGCTTTTTAAAAGTCAGAAATAAATGCACACATCTGCCCTTGGGTCAAGTTTCTTCTTGCCTTTCAATTCAGAGAAAGACTCTCTAATTAGTTTCTAAGTACAACACGTAGAGGAAAGGGGAAGGAAAGATGAAGTTAAAACCCCCACTACAAGCAAAGAAAATGACTGCCCTTGCACTTCAGTTCTGGGTTAAGCCAGGTTGCTGCCAAAACATATAAGCATCAAAGTTGGAGAATGTGGTGGGTTTTAACATGTAAACTCCTACCAAGAGATGCAAGCTTTGGGCCATGGGACTTCTCATTCTCTCTACCAACACCAATACAAATAGGGGTGGGGTGGGATTGCTCCGTTTGCTCAGGACTTCTTGTTGAGAAGGGTGCACTGACCACAGTTGTGAGGTCTAGCCTAACAGGGCAGGGCTCTTTCCATTTTGCCTTGGCACTGAAGCCAGAGCTTTGAACATGTACAGCATTTGTTGAGACACACACGTTTGGCTTCTTGGCTACAAGATGTGAGAAAAAGCCTGCAGGCAACCAGTTCCCCATTCTAACACTGGACTTTTGGGAAGCTCCTTCTTCGAAACTAAGAAATTTCCTTGTAAAACTTCTATGTCAAATATATCTGGCAATTCATGGAAAAGTGCTTTCAAAGTAAGCTTGTGAAACTGAGCAATCTCTAAGCCAGTGGCACCTTGTGTAACTAAAACCCAACTAGAGTACAAGGGAGGAAAGCTGGTAGGTGGGGAGGAAATATGGCTTCAGTCAAAAAGCTTTGCTCTGACTCAGGATTGCTGAAAAGTTAATTTTTAAGACAAGACAATAGAGTAACTAAGCAGCAACACATCAAAAGGGGCTAGGAATCTACCAGGAACTTAGGGCAAGTTTCAGCTACACACAAGAGGGTGTTTGGACAATAGGGAGACAACCACCAGGACAACCTTACGCTGACGAGTGGCCCCAGCCGAGGATGGACTTGGCTCATCGCTGGGTGCTCCACAGTGGAGGAATCAGCAGTACAGCCATCAATGGACGGACATCCACAATGCCTGTGGGGAAATACAAGGTCTGGAAGAGTGGGGGAGGGAGGGAAAAAGTTTGGGAAAGGGAAGAGAGTCAAACATGGTAGCTGTACATTACAACTGTAAAACATCATGCTTCACAAATGCAGAACTCTTCTGTAAAACAGAAATGGAGCACCTAACAGCAACCAGCTGTATGATGGGGAAAAACCTCTCACGCAAGGTTTCTCTGCTCTAAAATAAAACAAAATAAAAATTACTTCCTCAGTTAAGCTTCTGAAGTCTAACTACCATCTACCAAAGAGAAGCTGATTTTGGAGAAGAGACACTAAAAATAAAATCCTCCCTCCCTATGCCTTTACTCAGACAAATAAGGGTCCAATTTCTTATGGCTAATAAGGAAGAATCAGCCTGGAGCCAGTAAAATTGCCATGCCCTTCCCTAACTCTTGCTGACCAGGCTCTACCAATTCACCAAATGCATCAAGGACCCAACTGCAGTTGCCAAAGAAAACACTGAAAGGGAGGTAGTCTTAAGTATTAAATGTATATCACATAATTTTCTGAAGGAAAAACAAAATGACATTGAAAGCCCCACAGAATCAGAGTCCACTAAAGGTTTAGTGTGGCAATGTGGTTTCATGTTTTCACTCTTTTTTTAAATTAGATCAAGACAACTTTCATCTGTATTTTCTTATACCAATCTACCTGTAGTCACAGGAGAGATAACAAGAGCTGCACTGGTTGGTGGGACGGAGAGGAAGAGCACCAACAGAGAAGCAGAAAAACGAGTACAACTCCTAGCTCTGCTAATGATTCCTCATGTGACCATGCGCAGGCCGTGGCACAGGTGACTAGTCTCCATCGTTCCCATTTCTAAAACAAAAGGGTTGGACTAGATTCCCAAAGCCCTTTCCAGTTTTAAGATTCTAGGATGTTTTGGTCAAAAGCATTACAGAAAGGCTGCATGTCGACATTGTGTCTTCCTGCTCAGGTACGAAGACAGATTTGTGCCCACCATGATTTCACCACACAGGTTCTGACTTCCTCCACTCATGCCACACTCAACTGAATTTCCTAGCTGCAGCCTTGACGGCTCTCTTCTTGGGGACCAAAATGTGGAGCTGCTTCATGCCTTCTAGGACATTTAAGTGAGATGAGAGCTGTTCATGCCATCCTCACAGGATTCTCAGAATTGACAGGGTGGGGACTAGCTTTCTAAGTTAACCACATGATAGAGGGCTCCCAGTTATTGTGACATGATGCAGACGTGGATGTATCTGGTCAGACATCATGATCTACAGGTTATGGCACAACCATCATATGGTGCTTCCCAGGCAAATGACTGTCTTAACAATAGATAAGGTCTTTTATGAACATGAAAAGCTGAAACTATTGGGATGAGCCTGTGAGACCTTTTACTCTTGGGATTGGAGGGGGAGAGAGAGAGAGAGGGGAGAGAGGGAAGGAGAGAGACAGGAAAAGATGGGGAGAGAGGGAGGAAAAGGAAGAGAAAGAAGACGAGGGAGGGAGAGGGAGAGAAGGAGGGAGGGAGAGGGAGAGAGAGAGGGAGAGAGAAGGAGAGGGAGGGAGGGAGAGAGAGACAGAGAGAGAACAATGAAGTACACTTTACTAACTGAAGTTTTAAAGAAGCCTTAAAATCTACTCTGAAATTGACTTCCTTAAGTTCTCACTTTCCAAAGTCAAGTAGTTGTCCAAATCCCTAAGTTGTCTCCCCATAAGAGATGAGAGAAGATATATAGGAAAAGAAAGGCATAGAATGTCAGCTTATGTGCTCATACAGAATGCAACACACACACACACACACACACACACACACACACACACACACAACACATACAATGTTTCAGAGTCCTTCTACACAGGGAGTACTGATAATGAGGAATGAAGTCTGACCCAATTCCATAAGTCATTCTATCCCTCCTCCACTTCTCTGTTACAATGAAATGCCACCTTACCAATGTAATCCATCAATCAATAAACATTTAAGAACCTACTATACACTAGGGCACTGTGCCAATAGAAAATCAGCAAAAGACAGGTCTCTCCCCTGACAGAGCTCACAATCTAATGCAACACATAAACTGAAATACCTTAAGTAAACAGATACCAGTTGGTAAGGTAGTATAATCTGTAATTATATGACACTATTAATTTTAATTGGATTCTGCAAGCAGTAGAATGGAAACAGATGATAATGACTCATGTAGCAAAACAAAGTATGGGGAACCAGTGCTGCCACCTACACATTAGAATGTCAATAGCTGAGAAATGCAGGGAGATGGTGACCTGGATGATCATGGAATGCTAGACTTGCTGAAAGACTAGTCAGAAATGACTCACCTCTAACCCTCTTCTTGAGAAGGCTAAGAGAGTAAACTTTACGATTTGGGGGAAATGATGTGGTATCCAATAGTTTATATTAATTACAATCCAGAATTAGCTAGTGGAGCATTATATGTTTTCTAAGTCTTAACCCCACCACTGTATAAAGCCAAAGTAGTGACCATAGTCTTTTACTAAAAAAAAAAAAAGGGGGCAGATTAAAAATAATTTAATTCTTAATAGGTGTCTTTCATGAATCTACAATTGTCATTTCTTCATACCTACATGGAGATCTCATTGGTGCTCTGGTTCAGGTTTGCAAAACACCATCAGGGTCAGTTAATCCTAATTCCCCCTGAGAAGCAGGAAAGCCTCCAATGTCAATCAATAAGCATTTATTAAGAACTTACTATGTGCCAGGCACTGTGCTAAGTGCTGGGGATACAAAAAGAGGCAAAAGACAGTCCTTGCCTTCAAGGAGCTTACAATCGAATGAGGGAGACAGCATGCAAACAAATATATACAAAGCAAGCTATATACAGGATAAATATGAAATAATTAACAGAGGGAAGGGACTAGAATTAAGAGGGGCTGGGGAAGGCTTCCTAAAGAAAATGGGATTTTAGTTGGAAATTAAATGAAGCCAGGGCAGTGAGTAGAGAGCAGAGAAGGGAGGAACATTCCAGCCACAGAGACCGCCCAGAAGAAAGAGATGGGAGTGTCTTATGGAAAAACCAGGAGGCCAGTGTCACCTGATGGAAGAGTATGAATCTGGGAGTAAGGTGTAAGAACACTAGAAAGGTAGGAAGGGTCTAGGTTATGAAGGGCTTTGAATGCCAAACAAAACATTTTATATTTGCTTCTGAAGGCCATAGGAACCACTGGAGTATATTGGTGGGGGTGGGGGGAGTGGAGGAACTGAATTTTAGGAAAATCACTTTAGTGGCTGAATGGAGGATGGACCAGAGTGGGGAGAGACCTAAGGCAGATAGTCCCATAAGCAGGTTATTGCAGTAACCCAGGCATGAGGTGATGAGAGCCTGAACTACAGCAGTGGCAGTATCAGAGGAGAAAAGGGGGGTATATTGCAGAGATGTTACAAAGGTGAAAACAACAGGTCTTGGCAACAGCTCGGCTATGGGGGGTGAGAGATAGTAGGGAATCCAGATGACTCCTAGGTTGTGAGCCTGAGGGACTGAGAGGATGGTGTTGACCTCTACAGTAACAGGGAAAATAGGAGGTGGGGAGGGTATAGGGGGAAGGATAATGAGTTCTGTTTTGAACATACTGAGTTTAAGACATCTTCAGGACACCCAGTTTCAGATGTCTGAAATATGACATAGTCTCTTATAAGTAAGCAGCCTGAAGCACAGACCATACAAGTAACCACCTCAACATCACAGATTAAGTCCACTGTCCACTGGGGATTTCATTCATATCAATTCTCAGTCTTTCAATGTGTGTTTCGAGACAAGGGGTCTTAGAATTGGGATCCATTAACTCATTTTTAAAAAAAAATTTTGATAATTATAATAACTGGTTTCCTTCGCAATCTGCTTTATGTATTAAAAACTTTATCTGAGAAGAGATCTGTAGGCTTCTCTGGACCAAAAGGATTCATGACACACAAAAAAGGCTAAGAACTCTTGCTCTAAGAAATGGCACATCTCCGATTTATACCATCTACTCTGCCACACAATGATGTTTGAAAGGACAAGAAGAAAGGAAAAAGTAAGGCTATTTCCCAGGGAATAAGTTCAACTGTGACAGTGAGAAGGCAATCTAATGGGAATCCTGATAAAATTACTTTCAGTAAAACTGTGTCATCCTCAACCACAATTGTCACAGTGAAGAAGTATCAGTTGCAAAACCTCAAAAAGTTACTGTAAGAGCAGCAAAAGGTTGGGCAACTAAGAAAATTGCCTAGTACTATAGCACAGTACCCAGCACATAGTAGCGCTTAATAAATGCTTGTTGACTAGTTGAAAGCAAGGAAGTAAAGCTCTATGAGGTATCTGGATTCAGAGAATGATTTTCATCACCTCCAGACACAGCTACAATATTCAAGGTTATAGGTAGAACTTTCTCGCTTTAAGTTAATATATAACAGGAAGCCATCAGCTGATTCCCGGCAGAAAAACAACACAAGAGTTTACATGAAGCTTCACATAACAGAGAACTCTTCACAGTTACTCAACATTTTCACAAGCATTTTTTGTTTGATGTAAAACATGTCCAGTGGTATGGTATCTAAGAGATAAGTTTAGTGTAATTATAATTCATGGTGATTCTCTACCTACTGAGGCAGCACAGCGGAAACAGTGTTGCATGGGGGGGGGGCCCTGAGCTCAAACCCTGGTTCTGTGAGACTCTGGGTAAGTCCTTCTTCTCTGGGGCTCAATTTCTTATCTGTAAAATGAGAAGTTGAACTAGGTGACCTCCATAAAGATCCCTTTTCAACTCTAAATACATGTTCCTAAGAGCAGAGTATGCCAAACTCTTTAGAGATCCTTATCTAACCATCTTGCACATGGTCAAAACAGAAACCTGCCAATGCCCAGGATGAACACACTTTGTACCAGTTGGTCTTTCTCTAGAAACAGATCTTTAAGAGAATTTCACTTTTTATTGAAGTGTTCTGTTTGAGCAATAACCCTATAATGCAATCTGCCATTAAGGCAACAAAATATTTTTCATTAACATTTTTCAATTAGCTTGGGAGGATAAGAGACATCCAGAAACCAGCCACATGGGCTCAGAGTGAGCACATTTGCAGAAATGCTAGAATCACCATACACAGGAAATGGTTTTAGCTGCAAAGCCTAAGGATTTATGGGGTGAGTCATGGTAGCCCAGGCTCCCTGTAACCACATACAGTACTTTAATTCCGAAAGGGGGAGAGGGGAAATGCATTTTCAAAAACTAAGCTGAGTGAAACAACTTGGGGATTCAATCCATAGCTAAGAAACAAGGTCTGGTCAACACTGCATACATTTCTTCTTCTTCTTCTTTTTTTTTACCAGCCCATGCTAAGAACAGCAATGTTACTAAACTCGCTATAAGCATCACTCTTTTTTAGCAACAGGGCCTGGCTAACCAATCTGTCTTCCCTCACATCAGAGTATGCTGCCATTACAGCTGTCCAAGTTCTCCATCAGCTACCAGAGGCTTCGGAAAAGTAAAGAAAAATGCAATGGCTGGGACCAATTTTACATTTCCTTCAGATTAACAGGAGCATAAATTTAGAGCTGGCACAGACCTAGGAGGTCATCTAGTTCAATGCTCTCTTTTACAGATTAGGAAAATGGGGTCCCATAGGTCATATGGGTAGTACGTAGAAGAGCTGGAAGAGAATAGAGCCCAAATTCTCTGATTCAAGTCCAGTATTACTTACACCATAGCATGCTGCCATCATAAACCATTCATATGTCTTCTGTCCCTAATTACCTCTGCTGCAATAAACTCCCAGGAGGGACCACTAACCTAAGGGTCTGGAGGAGAATATCTTTAGGTCTTAGCAAGGGCTTAAATGACAGTTCCATTCCCACAGAAGAATAATTACAGTAGCTTAGAGCAGCAGGAAATCCAATGGACCCTGTGGTAAAAAACCCAAGGCCAAGTAAACAGCTAACTCTGGAGGTGCACATCATTCCATTCCATTCCAATGATTCTGTCATTTGTGTATTTCAGGTCAAATGTCTAAAGAGCCATATAAATAAAGGGACAACATTCCAGAACCAAAGTGCAAAAATGAAAGAGGAATCTATCTGTGGTGAAGAAATATTTTGGAGCAATACAAAAAACCCCTGCCCGTTCGTGATTCAGGGTTATATTACTCCCCCCTCCAGTCCTAATGCCCTCATTTCCAACCATTCATCAGATGCTGTGAAATTCTTAATTATCTACGGTCACAAAGGAAATGAGCTAAAATACCTTTCTTTCAGTCCAAGGGTTGCAAAACTCCACCTCTACTAAACGTTTTACCAGGCCTACCTAACAAGTAACCAAAACTGCTAATAAAGGTGTCCTTTTCCTGCCCCGGCTCTATTATGTGGTAGTGAAATACAAAAATGGCCAAGGGGAAATATATGGAGAGGAGGCCCAAATACAATAACTGACAGGCTAGATAATCTGAGGGCTCAATAAATTCTTATTAACTGACCAAAGCCAGCAGTATTTTACAACAGCGACTCCCTCTCCTCAAAAGCACGTGTCAGCTGCATCCTGCACTGCCAAACTATGAAAACTGCCCTTTCTAGGAACCACAGGTTATAAAGACAACAATATTAAGTGAATTTTTTTAGCCAGCAAAGTTATTAACTTTCATTTAGAATGAAGTAATTAGTTTCAGTAGCTGATGGTGGGGAGGGAGAGGGGAGGAGATGCATAAGAGCAGTGAATAAAACTTTGCATAAGGGTTCTTAACCTAAGGTCCGCAGATAGATGTCAGGGCATCCATGGGAAAATGAGATGGGAAAAATATACATACATCTTCATTTTCCCTAACCTCTAACTGAAATTTAGCACTCCCTCCCATTATTTAAAAACATTAATCTGAAAAGAGATGCATAAGCTTCAAACTGCCAAATGGGTCCATGGCACAAAAAAAGCTTAAGAACCTTTGCTCTTATACCACAAGGGACACACGGGGGGAAATGATTGCTCTTTTGTAATATCTGAAGGATTGACCTCAAAAGACAGATTAGCTATGTTCTCTTCTTTACAAAAGGCAACTGCAGAGGGAGTGTGGGAAGGAGTCACAGAGAGGTGAGATCAGCTCAACCTAGCAATTAAAGGGGTGCAAAATTGGAATGTCTGTAAAGGCAGTGAGCTCCCTGTCAACGACTGCTGGGCCTGGAGTCAGGAAGGCCTGAGGTCAAATCTAGCCTCAGATTCTTACTAGCTGTGTGACCCTGGGCAAGTCACTTAACCTCTGTTTGCCTCAGTTTCCTCAACTGTAAAACAGGGATCATAACCGACCTCCCAAGGTTGTTGGAAGACCAAATGATTTCATTCATTCAAATAAGGATCAATATCTGTAATGTACTTAGCACAGGGCCTGGCACACAGTAAGAACTAAATGCTAGCTATCATTATTATTATTATTATTATTATCATTATTATTCAAGCTGGATGACCACTTGTTAGAAATAACAACAATTATTAAACAACTACTATGCTCCTATTACTGTTAGGCACTAGAGACACAGTTACCAAAATGAGACAGTTCCTACCATCAAGGACCTTACACTCTACTGAGAGGACTACAATATATTCACAGGTAAGTAAATGCAGAATATTAGCAAAATAAATACACAATGATGGGGAGAGGGCCACTATCAAGAGGGGAAATCAGGAAAAGCCCCTTGAAGGAGGTGGCATTAGAGCTAAGCACTGAAGAGAGCTAGGGGCTCCAAGAGACAGAAAGAAGGAGGGAGAACATTTCAGACCAGGGGAACAGCCTGTGGAAAGGTAGGCATGACAGCAGGAAATGGACCATCCTGTATAGGGAACAGCAAGGACACCAGTTTGGCTGGAGCCAGAGCTCATTAAGGGAGAATCATGTAATCAGCCTGGAAAGCCTGGTAAAACTCTTCACAACTGGCTTCAGCTTAAGAGAGAATCAAAAGATCGAGACCTCAGAGAGCATCCCAGTCCCTCCATTTTAGAGGAAATGGACCCTGACAGTGAGCCCAAGGTAGTCACTAGCTTTGACAGGGCTAGGATATGAATCCAGGAGGGAGTGTGGTAGAGTGAAAAGAACAAAAGCTTGGGAGTCAGAGGACCTGGGTTCAAAATTCACCTCTGATGCTACCAGTGTGACCTTGGGCTACTCCTCTAGCCTCCCTTAGCCAGTTTCCTCTTTTCAAATGGGATCACGTTACATGGCCTCTGCTGTCCGTTCCAGCTCCGGCTATGTGATCCTATGATGAGAAACTGGTCTTATCATTGAAATGGCATCCACCTCCTCCAAACCAGCAATAGTCCTTCCTGTGGGTGGCCCCACTATGATTCAGAATGGGGAACTGAGCAAAGTCAAGGCACCTCCCCCTAGCTTCAGGGAAATTTTTCTAACAGAGAGAAGAAACTCATTAACAAGAACCTACTTTAACAAATTAACCCCAAGCAGTTTTTCAAATCAAGTCTGGTTTACGGCTTACCCACCTTCCCACTGAGCCGCGGAGTTCACCAAGACGTACTAATTGTTTCTCTTTCTATGAGGGGCGAGAAAAAGACACAGCATCTCCCTCCCCATCCCATTCACGTGAAAACAAACAAGCAAACAAACAAAAAACACAGTGTCTGCTTCCCCTTTCCCTTCCTCAGGCCTCCCCCCCCCCAGCCAAAAGAACAAACACATTTAAGGTCTTTGGTTTATCATCCTCATGTAGAAAGGGAATGCAACTACTACATCCACTGACAAAGAGCAGCCACAAATAACAGAACATCCCGAGAAACTGATGGGGCCACTGGGCCCAATTTCAGGGAAATACATTCAAAACAGCAGGACCACCCCCTCCCCCAACCCCAACCAAGCATTTCCATAACTCCTATGTTTATCAAGTATTCAGCAAAAAGAGGAAACAAAAACCATACACCTCAAGACCTTGCAGCCACAAATGTGTCAATAGCCAACAGCAAGTTGCTGCGTATTTTTTAGGCCAAACACCCTTATTTATATTCCAATCTGTTCAAGCTGAGTCTTTGAGGGTCGTCGTTGTTTGAGGGACGCCAGATGCTGGCCCGGCTGGGCCATTTTACAATAACAGCATTTCACCGAGCTTGGCCCTGCAAGCACCACGAAGCCAACCCAATGTTATTTCTCTGTCTCCCCGTTCCGTTTATCCACCAAATGGAGCCTGTACTACAGCCTGAACCTGTCTGTGGCTGCCACCACCCACACCAGGCTCTCACACACTCCACCATCCTGACGAAGGTGAAGGACCAGTACCAAGAAATCTGCAGCGTGTCACTGCATAAAGATACTTACTGCCCAACTGCACAAGGCAACCAGGCGGAGGAAAAGTCGTCCGACCTCGGTCACCACGGTCGGGGTCCAGCTCGGTAGCTATTCTTAACAGCACTCAGCAGCCACAATAATTACTCGAAGTCCTTTCCAGCTCTATATCTATGCTCCTATGATCTAATCTTTGAACACAAACACACAGGCACCCAATCTCCATCCATCCGTACAAGGTTGCTGGGCTGCAGAGAGAGCCTGCTTACTTCTCTCTCTCTCTCTCTCTCTCTCTGGTGAGAGGTCAGAAGAGACTGGAGGGTTGCTTCATTCATTCATTCGACCAACATTTATTAAACAATCACTGTACTGAGCCCCATCCCGGGCTCCGGGGCGGAGAGGTGAAGTTCGGCTAAGCCAAGGTCCCTGCCCTCGGGGAGCTCGCCCTCTCGTAGGGGGCGACGAGGCCATCGGCCTGGCCCCGCCAGGGCCTCGGAGGGGTCCCGGGAGGCCGGGAGCGGGGCAGATGGTCCTGCCCAGGGGTTACCTTTGGCCTGGCAGTCCGCACAGAACTTGTTCTCCTCTTCCAGCAGCAGGCTGGCCAGGACTGCCTGGTAGCGATCCACGTCCCTCACCGACTTGCCCGTCATGGCTACGCGCCCCCGAGACCCCTGCCCAGGGGGGAAGGAGGAGACCCGCTCCCCGCGCCCACCTGCGAGCCCCGAGGCCGGGGGGAGGGGGGTCGCAGGTACCCCAGACACTGCCCCCGCCGGGCCAAGCCCGGCCCAGCCCCGGCCCCGGCCCCCAAGAGCCGGAGGGAAGGTTTCCCCCGAGCCCCTGTGGCGGGCGCCCCCTGGCGGCGCCGGCAAGGAAGACCGCGCGCGCGGCTCCTCACGGCCCGGTGGGCGGTTAGGCCGGTAGCCCCAGGCGGCTGAGGGCACCGGGAGGGCGGGGAGGCGAATGTTGGCGTCCCCGGGCCGGCTCCCGCTGCTTCCCGCCCCTGCCTGCCTAGCCGCCTCAGCGTTCACCCATCAGCCCAACCCAGCCTCCGCCGCCGCCGTCGCTGCCGCTGCTCTACTCCCCGGTTTCCCCGGCAGCTGCAGCCCCCGCCGCCCACTTCCGGCTCTTCTTCCTCCCTCCTTCCTTCCCACCCCCTCCCCTAGGCCTCACCTCGCGCCCCGCCCTTCGCTCCACATTGCGCCTGCGCGCCTGCCGCCCCGGCTCCTCGCCGAGTTCCCAGGCCCGCCCACAGATCGAATACTCCCTCCTACTCTTGGCCCCACCACTGCACGGCGCTGTGCGTCACACAAGGTGGGAGTGGAGGCGTCTCACAGGAACCAATCCCCGGAGGGCAAAGGAGAGATGGGGGCGAGGTTTCATAAAGTCACGCCCCCTACGGGGGACCTTTGGAAAAGAATGAATGGAGCTGGGCGGGAAAAGGGGGGGTGGTTCGGAAGAATGGGGAAGTAGGGAAGTGACTTGTCAAAGATCTTACAGAACTGCGTAGGAACCCATGATTTCTGGCTAATGCTAGTGCCTCCTCTTATTGATTTTCTCCAGTTTATCCTATACGTATCTTGTTTATACATTTTGCATGTCATCTCCTCCATTAGACTGTGAGCTCCTTGAGGGAAGTGACTGTCTTTTGCCATTCTCTGTATCCCCAGCACTTAACACAGTACATAGCCTGGTACATAGTAGGTGCTTAATAAATGCTTACTGACTGACTTCAAATCTATCTATCTTTCTACGAGGCTCTACTGTCTCCCTGAGATGGGGACGTGCTTTTGCCCTCAAGGAAGCCCTCAGTCTGAAGGTAGAGATGTGGAGGCAGATATACTCAGGAAGATGACGTGAACCCTGCTCTGAAGCCCTCGTCTGAGGGATGCGTAGCCTGGCTTGCAAACACCTCTCAAGAGCAAGGTCTTTGTCATATCTGTTTTTAGAGGGAGACACAGGAGTCAGGAAATCAGGGACAAGAGGATAGTACCAAAATGTGAGAGCTGAAAGGGGCCTCGGTGCTCATGTGTCACTTCTGATGCAACCTGTGTGATCTTTTAAGCCTCCATCTATAAAACACTGGCCACATGCTCTATAAAGTCCTTTCTTATCTTAACTCCTGTGGCAGCCAGTCCCATTCCTGATAGCTGGTCACTCAACCTAGTAGGGGCAGCACAGTACCCTAGAGATGAGCGATGGTTTGGAACCAGGGGAATCTAGGTTAAAATCCCAGCTCTGCTACTTCATGCCTATATTGACCTCCGTCCAGCAAGTCACTTAAACGTCTCTGGCCTCAGTTTCCCCATCTGTAAAATAAGGAGATTGTCCTGGATGACCACCAAAGCTTCCCTTTCAAAACACATCTTAGTCCTTTGTTAGAATAAAGTCAAGTCAAACTGACAAACAATTATTAAGTGCTTGCTTTGCACCAGATAGTGCTAAGCATTAGGGATACAAATATAAGCAGAGAGAGAGAGAGAAAGAGAGAGGGAGAGAGAGAGAGAGAGAGAGAGAGAGAGAGAGAGAGAGAGAGAGAGAGAGAGAGAGAGAGAGAGAGAGAGAGAGAGAGAGAGAGAGAGAGAGAGAGAGACAGCTCCTGTTCTCAAGGAGATTACATTCTAACGGGGGAAGACACCATATAAAAGGGAGCTAACAATCAGAGAAGAGGGAAAGGTACCTGGGGCCATGATAGAGAAAGAAATCAGGAAAGCTTTTGTGTACAAACCTTTCCCCAAACCTTTCTTAATATAACTTCTGTCGTAACTGTAACCCAGTTACAATCAATCAATAAACAGTTATTAAACTCCTACTCTTTGCCAGGTGCTGAGCAAAGTCCTGGGTACACAAAGAAAGGCAAGAGACAGTCCCTGCCCTCAAGGCAATCTAACTGGGGAGATAATATAGAAACAAATACATACAAAGCAAGTTCTATGCAGCATAAATGGGAATAATTAGATGGGGAAGGCACTTTTGTTTTTCCCTATGACAACCTAGAAGAAATTCAAAGACAGGATGTTTCACTTAAGTCATCTCTCCTCTGGGCTAAATAGCTGCATATGGTCAAGGGTTGTTGAGTGGAACTAGGAAATGGAGCTAGACACTCTGACTCCAACCAGTACTTTGCCTGCCTAATTCAAGGGTGGAGAACCTGTGGCCTTAAGGTCACATGCAGGTTTCTAGGTCTTTGGGTGTCGCCTTTTGACAGAGTCCAAGTTTCACAGAACAAATCCTTTTATTAAAAAAAAAATCCTCTTATTAAGGGGATTTGTTCTGTGAAGTTAGGATTCAGTCAAAAGGTAGCACTTGAGGACCTAGAGGGCCACATGTGGCCTTGAGGGCACAGGTTCCCACCCCTGATCTAGTTGGTCCCCCAAGCTTCCTTGAATGGCTGAGTTTAATGTCACTGATGACTCACTGAATCACAAAATCTTTGAAAACAGAAGGGCTCCAAAGAGATCATACAAATGAAATGGGAAAAGGACCCACATGTACAAAAATATTCAGAGCAGCTCTTTTTGTGGTGGCAAAGAATTGGAAATTGAGAAGATGACCATCAATTGGTGAATGGCTGAGCAAGTTGTGGTATATGAATGTAATGGAATACTATTGTGCTATAAGAAATGATGAATAGGCTGACTTCACAGATACCTGGAAAGACTTGTATGGACTGATGCTGAGTGAAGTGAGCAGAACCTGGAGAACGTTGTACACAACAACAGCCACGTTGTGTGATGACTAATATTGATAAACCTAACCCTTCCCAGCAATACAAGGATCTAAGACATCTCCAAAGGCCTCGTGATGGAAAACGCTATCCACATCCAAAGAAAAAACTATGGAATTTGAATGCAGATCGAAACATACTGTTTGCTAATTTTTTTTCTTCTGTTGAATTTTGTTTCCTCTTTCTGGTGGTTCCTCCCATTGGTTCTAATTTTTACTTACAACATCACTACTCTGAAAATATGTTTAATAACAATGTATATATATAGCCTATATCAGATTGTGCGCCATCTTGGGGAGGGTGGTGGCAAGGAAGGGGGAGAAAAATTTTAAACTCAAAAGCATATGAAAGTGATTGTTGATGAATCAAAATAAATTAATAAAAAAAATACAAAAAAAAAAGCTAAAAAAAAAGAAAATAGAAGGGCTCTCAGAGATTGCCTTGTCCAGCCTGCACTGGAACAAGAACCTCTTCCCTGGCATTCCCTTTAACAGTTGGTCATGTCACACACCCTCCAAAGGCACCCCATTTTTTTTTAGTGAGGCAATTGGAGTTAAGTGACTTGCCCAGAGTCACACAGCTAGGGAGTATTGTATCTGAGGCCAGATTTGAACTCATGTCCTCCTGACTCCAGGGCTGGTGTTCCAACCACTGTACCACCTAGCTGCCCCCCCATTTTCTTTTGGGACGGCTTTGGTTGTCTGGGTATTTGTCCTTCCTTCAGTCCTAATCAACCAATGTGCACTTACCACAGAGCCTGGGACACAGTAGGCTTAGTAAATGTTTATTTAATGACTGATTGATTGCTGAAGGCTCTGCTCTGTGCCAGGCATAGGAGATACAAAAACAAGCCCTGCCCTTAAGGAACGTTCTATGGGAGACTTGTGCTAGTCAAGTGTATGCAAAATATGAAACAGGAAGGTGATTTGAGGCAGTTAGATAGTGCAGTGGATAGATAGAGCCCTAGGCCTGGAATCAGGAAGACCTGAGTTCAAATCCAGCCTCAGACACTCTCTGTGTGACCCTGGACAAGTTAACTCAGTTTCCTCATCTGTAAAACGAGCTGGAGAAGGCAATGGCAAACCACGCCAGTATCTCTGCCTAGAACACCCCAAATGGGGTCACAAAGAGTCAGACACAACTGAACAATGAAAGACAATTTGAGAGGAAGGGATTAAAAGATAGGGAGAGGAGGGGGAGGTCCAGAAAGGTCTCATGGAGAAGGTGGTACCTGAGCCTAAGAGGTGGAGGCGAGGACGAAGTTAATTCCAGGTGTGGAGGCAAAAGCATAAAGACAAGGGGCAGCTAGGTGGCGCAGTGGATAGAGCACCAACCCTGAAGTCAGGAGGACCTGAGTTCAAATCCTGCCTCAGACCAAACACTTGACACTTATTAGCTGTGTGACCCTGGGCAAGTCACTTAACCGCAACTGCCTAGTAATAATAATAAAAGCACAAAGACAGCATATGGAATGAGATAGATGAGGAAAAGCAATGAGGTCTGTTTAGTTGGACAGAAATTGTACAATAAAGCTAGAAAAACAGTCTGGGGCCAGGCTGTGGAGAGTTTCAAATATCAAATAGAGATGTTAATACTGAATCCCAGAAGTAATATGGAACCATTTATTGAGTAGAGGAACCAACCTATTCTCTAGGAATATCACTTTGATTCTAGTATTACTTGCCATCCCACGGAATTATGTCTGGTAGATTCACATTTTCAGGGAATCTGATACTGGGTAAGGTTTTGTATCTCCTTTTTAACCTCCTTCTTTTTCTTCTAGATCTCTTTCCTCTAGAGATATCATTTCACTTATATGATTTTTTTTAAACTCTTACTTTCATTTCTTCCAGGCATTACAGTTGACCTTGTGACCAAGCTGTGTTTTTGTTTGAGTCATTGCTTGTAAATGATGTAGAATTACAGCTAGGTCCCAATTAGTGAGTAATATGAGTGATGAATTCATGAAGTAGTCATGTTGTTCTTGAATTTGTACTATTCAAAATTATAATTATGTAAAATATGATCACTGCTTCCAGAACAGTGGAAATATGCAGTACAAATTTGAATGATTTGACCACTTCATGGAATTCAATATTTGAATTAGTCAGAACCAACCTTTATTCTTTTCTTCTGGGTTTCTGTCTTCAGCATCCCTAGATCCATAATATTTCTTCATCATTGTCTTCTTTTGTTTACTCATTTTTCAGCCTTCCTTCCTGAAACGGGAACTTGTGTCAAGATCAAATTCTATACACTTCTGGAGGGAGTGGCGATATGTTGCTTTGCCCTGATCTGGGATATTATCTAGGATGCTGTCACTGCTTCCTCTGGGTTACTACCATGTTCTTCAAGAACCTCAGGAGCAGCTCAGATCTGCAAGCCGCAAATTTTCAGCACAGTAAGCTACCTCATCTAGGATGCCATCTAATCACTGCCTTCCCAGTCTGGGTTTTGCAGGCTCCTAACCCCAGTTTGAGGTCTTGGAAACTAAGCTTCACATTCGCCCCTAGTCATAACTCCAGTAGACAGCTGCAGGCCCCAGCCCTAGTCTAGATATTGGAGGTCTCCAAGACCCCTGGGCCAAAGCAACACAGCTACCCCTGGTCTAAGCCCCTTCCTTGTACACAGCTGTAGACTCCCCAGTCCAGGTCTTCTAGAAGTTTCCACAACCCTAGTCCTGAGCCAAGACAGCACAGCTGGAGTTGGTGACCTCATCCTCTGCCAGGGTTCAGGGGGGCTCCTCTGGTTCAGTGTGATAAAACTTCAGGCTTGCTCCCAATCAGCCCTCCCTGTCCCAAGTATCAAGCTGCAGGCCTCAGCCCTAGCCCATACTAGAAGACTTCTGCATGGGCCTTCCTGGATGGACTCTGTGCCCAGCACCTTCAGGCCTCTGGCTGTCTACCTGTGCTGACCTGGGCTGGAAGGAAGCACCCATTACAGTTTTTCTTTAGGTTTCACGATCACAATTCAGTCTGGTGCTCTTCCATGACCTTTGCTGGAGTAATCATGTGAAAGAGCCGGGCCATATTGCTTCCTCTTATATGTCCATCTTTGCTCAGGAATATCACCGGCGTCTGAGTGGAGGATGAATTAGAGAGAGGAGAAACTTGAGGCAGGGAGGCTATTTCAATAGCATGGGTGAGAGGTAGTAAGGGCCTGAAGTAGGATGGTGGCCAGGGGAGGAGAAAGAGGAGGACATAGGTAAAAACTGTTGTTGAGGAGAATTAAACAGACTCCTCAAGAAATTGGAGACGTGGCATTTGGGAGGGTGAGGAGCCAAGGATGACTGGAGCTGGGAACCTGACTGACTTGAAGGATGGCTGTGCCTCTGACAATGACAGGCAATGAACTTCCCCAGAGAGAGGTGACTTAGGAGGCAAGGAGGAAAATAAATTCTGTTTTGTGTCTAAATTTGCCTCATTGTAACTTCCACCCATCACTCCTACTTCTGTTCTCTTTGTCAACACGGAACAGGCCATCTGTAAGGGAAACTGAGGAGCATAGATCCTCCCCAGGCCCCTGTGTAACCATCTCATGACCTAACAGTGTAACTGCCTCATGACCCAACATAAAGATAGATGGGATTTACCATGCATGGCTGGAGCTGACCATGGAGACGAAACATTAATTAACCAACAAGCTATGTTACCTGGGAAAGCAACTTATCTCAAGAAACAATGAAGAATCTGGAGAGAAGCATGAGAAGACTTATATGAACTGATACAAAGTGAAATAAGTAGAACCAGGAAAGCAAGAGACATGATGACCACAACAATGTCAATAGAAAGAATAATCACAAATAAAATAGAAACTTTGCACTGCGTAGTTATAATGACCAGGCTCAGATCATTTGTAAGAACACCTTTCCCTCCCTTCTTTGAAGAGATGGGGGATTAAAGGTATGTTGGATTGAGTCGGGTAGTTTTGTGGAATTTTCCTTCTGCTTTATTTTTCACTTTAAGTAATAAATATTTGAGAGGGGGAGGGTAGATATATTGGGAAATGAAAACCACATTAAAAACAAATTCTAAACATTTTAAAAGTGACAGAGCCAGAAGTGTGTGGGTTTGTTTTGTTTAGCTAGGCTTATTTGTCATAAAGATTGTGTTTTTCCTTTTTTGTTGGAAACCCAAGAGGGGAAACTAAGCGATGGGGTTGTGCAGTCCCCCACCAAAAGCAAACACACAAAAAAACCCATAAAAAAGAGTCACTATAACACGTTCAAAAATGTACAGACAGGAATGGAAGAAAGTTCAGAGTGAAGTAAAGACAAACAGGACAGCTTTGAATGCTGAATTTATTACATACTTTAAAAAAATTGTACATAGTAGAACTTAACAGTTTCACATATAATCCCCATTTCTGTTTTACTTCATATATGGAAATGCTCTCTCTCTCTCTTCTCTCTCTCTCTCTCTCTCTCTCTCTCTCTCTCTCTCTCTCTCTCTCTCTCTCTCTTTCTTTTTCCTTCTTTCTCTCCCCCCTCCATCTTTCTCTCTCCATCTCTCTCTCTCCTTTCTCTATCACTTTCTCTCTCCTCTCTCTCTCTTTCCCTCTTTGTCTCTCTCCTCTTTCTCTCCTTACTCTCCTCCTTTTTCTCCCCTTTCTCTCTCCTTCTCTCTCTCTCTTCTTCTCTCTCTCCTCTCTCTCTCCATCTCTCTATCTTTCTCTCTCTCTCTCAGCCGTTGTTGTTCCAAATTCTAATTCTAAATTCAGAATGAAAATAAATTCTTAAAAAATTTTAACAAAATGGTAAAAACCAGGGTTTGAACCCAGGTCCTTCAGCTCCAAGTCCAGAAATTCTCCCACTTAACACTGCTTTTCCCTGTAACAGCCCTTCAGATACTTCAGGCTTCTGTCATGTCTTGAGAGAGATGATCATGGTACAATAGAAAGAGGGTTGGATTTGGGGATTACCTTGCCTGAGTATAAATCCCAGTTCTGCTACTTACTATCTGTGTGACCTTGGACAAGTCACTCAACCTCTGTGGGCCTCAGTTCCTAATCTATAAAAGGAGGAAGTTGGACTAAATGGTCTCTAAGGTCCCTTGAAGCTCTAGATCTATGATCCCGGTCTCCCCCTAAGTCTCTTGTCCAACCAAACCCTCTCGGTACCTCCAAGGGAGCCTCACACGGCATCATCTCAAGGCCCCATCTTGGTGGACTTACTTTGGACGCTCTGTAACTTTGTAGTTGCTTGCCTAAAACACGGCCCCCAGCGCTCCTTGGGGAGGAGGAGAACTGGGAGGCGATAAGGGAAGGGTATAACTTGTCTAGTCTGTAGCCTCAAAGAGGAATCCTCAGACCCTTGGGTGACAGCAGCAGAGAAAGTCCTCTTATAGGTATCTAGGTGGTTCAGTAAATAGCACAGTGGGCCTGGAGTCAGGAAACCCAAGTTCAAATCCAGCCTCAGATACTAGCTGCGTGATGCTGGACAAATCACTTCACCTCTGTCTGCCTCGGTTTCCTCAACTGTAAAATGGGGCTAATAATAGCACCAACCTCCCAGGTTGTGAGGATCAAATGAGATACTTGTAAAGTGTTTATTACAGTGCCTGGCACATAGTTGGTGCTTAATAAATACTTTTTCCCTTCTCTTTCCCTTTTCTGGGGCCCTATAATAAAAATACTTCTTTGGTTTTGCTTTTTTTTTTTTTTTGGTGAGGCAATTGAGATTAAGTGACTTGTCCAGGGTCACACAGCTAGTAGTGTCAAGTATCTGAGGCCAGATTTGAACTCAGGTCCTCCTGGCTCCAAGGCCAGACTTCTATTCACCGCACCACCTAGCTGCCTCTAGAATACTTCTTAAGTGGCTTCAGGATGCAGCATGACTCCTCTTCTCTGTGCTCTCTCTCTCTCTCTCTCTCTCTCTCTCTCTCTCTCTCTCTCTCTCTCTCTCTCTCTCTGTCTCTCTCTCTCTCTCTCTGTCTCTCTCTTTCTCTCTTTCCCCCTCTTTCTCTCTCTTTCTCCCTCATTAATTTCATCCCCTCCCACATCTTCAAATCTCACCTCAGTAGAGATGACTCCCACATCTGTTCCTTCAACCATGACCTTTTCCCCTGCATTGCAGACTCCCCCTTTCCGGTATCCTGTTGGACATCTTCCCATATATGTCCATCAGCACCTCAATGTCAGCCTGTCTAACTGCTGCTGATCCCATTGGGACTAGAGCCCTGTGCCTTCTCCCTCTCCACTAAGGGGCCCCTCAGAGCTCAAGACTCCTATCCATAGATTAGGTTCAAACCTGGAGTAACCTGACTTCCCCAAAGAGGCTCAGGCTCTCTTGTCTTCTTACTCTTTGGAATCTCACTCTGGAGCCCCAGAGGAAAATTACTTAGGTTACGTTGACCCATATCAAGGGTCTCCCCAAAAGGGAAGTGGGTTGGGGAAAGGTACCCCTCATGTGTCTAGGTCCAAAACTAAGTGAGCCCCTTTTGTATTCCCGTGAGTCTGCATCTTTACTTTAGTTCTCTGTCTCGTACCCTAGATCCTCTAAAACTGGCATCCTGCCTGGTCACCTAATTCTGGTCCTCCCCAGAACTGTAGGCCTTCCCTGGAACCCCAGCCCCTGCAGCTCAGTTCCAGCTGCCAGACCTCTCTGACTTCCCTGTCTGTCTGCCTGCCTTCAGACCTCCAGTCAATTATAGTGGAAAGTATCCCGGACTAGGAGACAGGAAACCTAGGTTTTACTCCCCAACTCTTCCACTGTCTGTATCATCTTGGGCAAATCTTATCCCTTCTTTAGACCTCACCTTCTTCATTTACAAATTGAAAGGGTTGGATTAGATGACGTCTAGGGTACCTTCTGGATCTGACTTTTTGTGTTATCTGCGTGACCTTGGACAAGTCACTCAGCCTCTGTGGACCTCAGTTCCTCAACTATAAAATGAGAAGTTTGAACTAATTCTAACATTCTCTGTTCTAAGGTCCCCTCCAACTCTGACAATCTATAATTAAGATATCTTCTGAGTATTCTCTTCTATATGCTAAAGTCTCTGGCTAACAGTCTGTGTTTTATGTTCTCAGTTCCCTTCCAGATCTGATATTCTATGTTCTAGGGTACTTTCCAAACTGTCATAGTCTATGCCCTAATCTGTGCTCAAAAGTCCCTTTCACCTCTGACAGTCTATGTGCTATATTCTAAGATCTCTCTCAGCTATGACATTCTTTATTCTAAGGTCACTTCCATATCTTATATTCTGTGTTCAAAGGTCCC